CCGTGCACATGTCCATAGAGATCAAGTTGAAATGAAAATGCCACATTATTATTATTATTATTTTTCTTTTAGGTAGTACATAAGTCCCTCGTTTATCGTGGGGGTTTCCGTTCTCAGTCCACCCGCAATAAGTGGAAAAAAAACCCATGAAGTAGGAATAGTAGTACAAGTAGTAAGTAGTAGTTTATATATATATATATATATATATATATATATATATATATATAGGCATTTTAAACCCTTCCCACAATTTTGCAATATTCTAAACAATGTTTCTAAACTAAACGGTCTAAAAGAACACAGAATGTCATGAGCTCTGCTCTCTCTGCCACCTGCCAGCACTCTTGGCCACGCCCACTTCTCCACTGCAGAGCGGAGATCTGATATGAGATATGCTGCAGGAGGGAGCTTCTCCCTGCACATGTGGGCTGCACACAGGTGCAGCAGGTGCTCAATAATTTGAAATAATTTATTTTTAATTTAAAGAATCCTTGCCGATCTTGCGGCTCATCCATAAATCAGCCAATTGTGTGTCATGTCCAATCTTACCGCGAAAAAACGCGAAAGAGTGAGTCCGCGAAATTTGAACTGCGAAGTAGTATACTTAAAAGAAATCTAGATTAGATTATTTGATAAGTCAATGTTGCCACTACATGCGAGTTAAATTGATCCAGGGTGGACCCTGCCTTTTGTCTAATGACTCTGAAGATGGACACCAGCTCCCTGTTACCCTAGATAAAAAAAAGTAGGTGAAGACAAAAATAAAATGGATAGGCAGTATATTCTGCTATAGGAACCACATATTGCCAAACCTTGTATTAGGTCAAGGTTGCTGATCCATGAAAATAGTGAATTCATATACTAAACGAAGTAAAGTAAAGGCTCTAAAAGATTAATCACAAGAAATTTTCCAGTGAGCTGCCTTGCTTTTCTCAATTAGTGCTAAATCATCAGTGGTTATTAGCCTGGTCCTAATTGAATGTGAAAGTGAGCTACGCTAATGCAATCCTTGTGGCGTAATTGGTGTCAGAGAGAAAGGTTCGTCTCTTCTCGTCTACAAGACTTTCTCAATCATGTCCGTCCCCCATGTGACACATCCGTTGGTACCCGGGGCGTTTCTGATCCTGCCTCACTGTTCCTTTTTGAAAGAAAAGAAAATCTTCCTGAAACGGCTAACTCTTCATGAGATGATTCAAGTGAACCCTAATATGTAAAGTCTGAAAAGACAGCTAAGCCTTTTGAATATCCCACTTGTGTTTTGTGAGGAAAATTCCTCCCATCTTCTGCTGCGATCAGGAGAAAGTTTGCTGGAGAAAATAAAACGCATTTAGAAAATATAAAGTATATTGTGAAGGTAACAAATATCAACTTCACAAAGTTGCAAATAAAACCAGGAAAGTGTGACTTTTCTCACTTTGTTCAGATAGTTTCCTAGTTTCTGCTGCTTTGAAGCAGCAACAAAAAGCTGTGCTGGCAGAACGCTTCCCCATAGGGCTGCAGTAGCCAGGTGACGAGCAGGAGCTGGCTTTCACTAGATACAGCAATTGGCATTCAGGCCAAAGCGTTCAGTTCTTGTCTCATCAGTCCAGAGAAGCTTTTCCTTCATGCTTTCAGAACGTTTTAAGTGTTGTTTGGCAAACGGCTTCTGGGCTTTTAAGTATATATATATATATATTTTATTTTTTTTTATTTTTTTCCACAGGAAAAGATTTAGATTCTGACTATCTTCCTATAATGTCTTGATTGATGGCGTGCTGAAGAGTTGTTAATGCTGCTGGTTACCTCTTTCATGTTTATGAAGTTTCTAGTGTTCAGTTATTCAGTTTCACTTCTGGAGAGAGCGCTCTGGTTGGTTTGAGAGTTGTGCTCCTGCACTTCATGCATTTTTTATTTTCAACACTCCTTCAATATATTCTTCGCTTGAAAATTGAGAGTTTTTAAGATTCCATTGCTTGTTTTTTTTTGTGTGTGTGTGTGTGTGTGTGTGTGTGTGTGTGTGTATTGCATGGACGAGTGTATTTTTCTTTTTGGTTTGAAACCAGTCAAACCAATTTCAGGTGCACTCCAATGCTATTTTACATCTGTTCCATATTAACTCGGCATCTCTGCGCTTCATTTATCTGCGCTGCTGCACTGAATCATCAAGCGCAACTCCAGCTGTCAGCAAAGGAGCTTATCAATCGCAATATAAAGAAAGAAAACAGCTGCTCTTTACTATTTAATTGCTTCATGGGCGCTTATGTATTCTGTAAAATGCACATACTTGAGGGCAGATTTACTACCCGAGGCAGTTTAGCATCTGGTCTCAAATCTTAAATGGCACCTATGGGAGTGTCCAGTTCTGTGGGTGACATCCTAAGACAGCACTGATCTCATTTTGGTAATAACTAAAGCAATTACCAGAGGCAGCGCAAACAAGGCGATGAGTAAATTTCCAGGAATCTGTCATGTGAAATCCTCAATATCCCTGGTTTTAAAACTGGTCAGATCAGCATAATCTGGATGTTTCCACTTGACTCAGATAAAAGGTTGATTGGATATATTTAAATAGGTCAAACTTCATTAATACTCGTCCATATTTTAACACTATAGACAAACAATCACATGCACACACACAGCAAAAACATAAATGTTCCAAATTCACCATCAGCGATGGGAAATAAGAAATCCATAAACAGCTGCAGAAGGGTTTGATGAAAAGAGAACTGCAGGGCTCATTGAAGGAAGAAACTCCAGGTCACTCGCTCCTTAATGGTGTTTTGCTGTTGATCTGGTATGTTTTCCTGTGACATTAAATAAAGTCATTGCTGAGTGTATGCATTTATTCTGGCGCAGACACCCCATTTTTCCTACTGTTGTGCATCCAAAGTCCAGCACCAATTACACAAGCATGACATATTTTCATCCATTCAACCTTTATTTATACAGGTTTGTCTCATTGAGTCACAAGGACCCATTTACAAGAGAGACGTATTTTAAACAAAAACCACAGATGAGGTACACACAACAATTAAACAATCATATAAAATGAAAAGTATATAAAAGAAGTGCTATAAAACCAAATAAAAACGAGCTACAGTATAAAACAGTGTAAAATACTAAAAACAGGAACATGTCTGCATTGATTTTTGCATTGAACTTAACAGCTGTTTAAAATCCCTTAGAGACGTCAATGTCCAGAGCTTCAGATCTTTTTACAAGGTGTTCCAGGTAGGAGAAGGCTCTTTTGCCAAATTTGGTCCACATTGAAGGGATGCTGCAGGTAATGATGTCTTGAGATTGCACGCTGTAACTGCACTGCCCAAGTGGCATGTAGGAGGAGATACAAACCAATTTAAAGGAGTGGATTACATTAGCCATTTATTTAAAAACTTAAATACGGTAATTAAACATTTTGAACAAATGTGGGGGGGAAAAGGCCACAAGATTATTTTAAACAGTCTGACAAACAGTTGTGTAACTAGTGTCAACACCTTTCAATTTCACTGCCCTTACTACAGCGTTCAGTCAAAGCAAACACCAACAGGATTTTTTTATGTTAAATGGTCTGTACTTGTATACACCTTTCTATCTTATCAAGATACTCAAAGCGTTTTACACTACAATCTGTGCCCGCATTTACCCATTCATAAACTCTACTATATCTACACAAAGATAACCAGTGCTTTATCACATTCATACGCCGATGGGACACACATCGGAGGCAACGAGGGGCTCAGTGCAGTGGTGTAGTCTACATTTTTGTAGTGGGTATACTGTGCTTAGAAACCAAAATACACCAGTTAGTACAATGTAATTGTCAATTTATTTTGATTTCCTCGAAGCACCTCCCTAAGAAGTGGAAGATAATGGATGGATGGATGGATGGATGGATGGATGGATATATGTTACATACACACACATATTATCATATTTATTATTATCAGTTATTTTCTTTTTAGTTCAAAGTAAATTGGACAAAATATGAAAGTTATTTGAAGTGGCTCATGTAAATACGAATGTTTTAAATGATGTGTTTTTTTTTAACAATTTGTGTTGTTTGGAGAAAAAAAAAAAAATTTATGTAAAGTAATGTGACCAAGAATCATTTTTTTACTAAGGGTTCTGCTGTTTATTGCTCTCAAAACTTCAAACTGGTTGCTTCAAACTTTACTAGTACTTTTGAAACGTCAAAATATAAATATCCGGTCTAAACTTTTATTCTAAAAACCCCCTTGCCCTTGTTCTGACGATGTTCTGTAACTCCCTCTGGCTTCACATAGCTGGAGGTGGAGCACCCCCCCCCCCCCCCCCCCCCCCCCCAAAAAAAAAGAAAGAAAGAAGAGGGACACCGCTGTTCTCTGAGGGTGTTTACGATGCATTTCACCCCGACGTTTCAATATAATGTCACGCGACACTGGGCACTTTTAAGTGGGTATACAGAAATTCTCAAGCTTTTCTAGTGAGTATACGGCATATACCAGCGTATCATGTACACTACACCACTGGTTCAGTGTCTTGCCAGGGACACTTCAGCATGTGATTGCTGGTGGAATCAAACCCCCAACTCTCCCGTTGGAGGACAACTGCTCTAACCACTCAGCCTGCCTCCTAAGTTTAAGACTAAAGTCGGTCTACAATAAGTGTAAACTGTTTGTAAATCAGGGCTTTAGTGTGTCTTTAAACAGCATGAATAAATATTGGCCACGGCAGATTAATTTGATATCTGTGGTGATTAAGATTTATTTTAATATGTACAGGTAAATGATAAACACAAATAAAACCCTATAATAAAACTGCGATGAGTTGATTTCCGATGTAACCTTGTATTTAAGTGATTTTGTTCCAGGGATTATGAAAAAAATTAAACAAATAAGCACATTTTGATTAGTTGCACCTGCAAAAGTTAATAACACAAGTTAGATCACATCAGCAGTCATGAAGGAACTCATTTTACTGTCGCTGCATTCACATAAACACGAGTAACCTAAATATCTGCTCGCTTCTTTCTCACCATTCAGACGAAGCTTGTGCCAACTGCTCCTTCGGGGCGATCTGCGATGTCCAGCGCGGTCAGTGCGTGTGTCCGTCGGAGTGTGTCGAGTCCCATCAGCCTGTGTGCGGCAGTGATGGCACCACCTACAACAGTGAGTGTGAGCTGCACGTTCGAGCCTGCAAAGACCAGCTGGACCTGCGAGTGGTCAGCCAAGGAGAGTGCAGTAAGTGTCGTCTGCGTTCACGCATCCATGCGTTCGCTGATTTCAGTTTATGAATTCACAAAAGGTTAAAACACCCTTTGCATGAGTTTAGATCTTGGGCTTTTGTTTGACAAATGGAAAAATATTAACTTTCACTAGTAAAACAGAAAGTTGTACAGTATCTTTGTACAGTAGTCCCTCGTTTATTGCAGGGGTTACGTTCCAGACCCCCCGCAATAAATGAAAATCCGCGAAGTAGTGACGTTATTTTTATTTTAGTATTTATATACAGTACATTTTAAGACTTTGTAAACCCTACCCACACTCTTGCAATGTTCTAAACTCTTAAACCTATGTCATTTTAACAACATGCGTATATGTAGTTACTAAATTTTACTCACCAGCTCTGCAGAACAGCAGTGGCTTGGTTCTGGTCTGACTTAGTTCTGTTTTGGCTGACCTACCCTGCTGGTTCTGGTCGGCTCTCTGGCTCGGGGTAGTGACGGTGGAGTTCTCGTGGGCCAGATAGCAGCTCTCAGATTCACAGCTAGGCCTGGGGGTCTGGTTCTGGTCCAGTTCCCTGTGGATTCCATGCGGCGCTCTGCATTTTATTTTTTCATTAACTTTTTACTGTACAGTATCCTGTATTGTCCCAATCACGTGAGTGATATTAAAGTTGACAATCGTGTCGTGCACAATTTTTTTTACTCATGTACAATCTTACTTTGAAAAACTGTGAAAGAGCAAGTCCATGAAGGTCCAAGTAGCGAGGGACTACTGTATTTCATACATTTTTTTTCCACTCTAGAATAAAGCTGGAAATGATTTATAAAAAATTAGCCCTCTAGGTGCAAGTAGGCAGACAGGATTTACATTTTAATTTCTATCCTAATGATCAAATTAACCTCATGGATACATCCTGTATGTGGTGACCCGTGGCGCTCTGAACTGTCTCTCTGCTGTGTTTGTAATGCAGAAACATGTGGCAACACAGTTTGCGCTTGGGGTGCCCGTTGTGTCGAGAATAAGTGTGAGTGCCAGGAGTGCTCAGGCGATGAGTCCTCCCCAATGTGTGGTAGTGATGGTAATACCTACGACAATGAGTGCGAACTCCGCAGGTCCTCCTGCATACAGAAGAGGAAAATTGATGTGGCGCAGCCCGGCAGCTGTGATGAAGGTAGGAAATGGACTTTGAAATGTTGTAATTATGTTAACCAATCAGCCATTGAAGTGGTGTAATTAACTTTACCAACTGACCTGTGGTACCGTGTTTAGTCATCTGTGGGTTTTCATAATGGTGGGCTATACCTCTAACAGCTTGCCAGTCATCTGACATCACCAAAAGTTGCACTGTGAAAGTCGGTTTGCGTCTGTAAACACAAACCGTTACAGCAGCCAAAGTTACCTTTGAATAAAAACGCTCTTATCTGCTCTACTTTTCAAAAGGAAACTCCAGCCGCTGGGCATGTTTGGGGTTTTTCAGTTCGTTGTCATTCTTTGAACTTGTACAGCCCTGCTGTTGTTTACAGCTCTCAACACTTGCTAACAGGGTGTATAAAAATATGGGTGTAGCTCCTCTGAGATCATTCATCAAGGCACCATTTTGAAGCCCCAACTTTCAAGTGAATTATGCACAATTTATCCAAAGCTATAAAAGTGTTTACTTATTCAAAATATCATTTTACTAGCAGTAGGCTGTAATATGATTATACAGTAGCTTGGGGCATCAAAAGAAATCCCCAGTATCTTTTTACCTTCACTAAAACTATTGGAAAGTTTATGCCAGACGTGCACAGCTAAGTTGAAACTGTGCAGAATGAACACTATACTTGTGTTATGTTTAACTGAATACTCAGAGACAAACACTGAGGAGGGAACAAACCTCAAGATGGAGTATACATTTAAAGTGATTTTATATACAGTGGATAGTTAGGCACTTCAGGAACCCTGAGGAGCAAGGACATGGGTTAGAGGATATATATTCAAGAGGAGGGTGATACAGTTGGAAGATTTCGGCCTTACTGTAGATTAGGTGCGTGTGGTTGGAAGGCAAGGAAGGCAGGAAACCAGAGGTTTCCATGGGTTCTTCAAAGAAGTCCAGGTACAGGTAAGTCATGAAGAGAGATGCTGCAATAGCCAAGGAACACAGATGAGTCTTTCTCAAAGACCTTTGACTACAAAAAGACTAGAAACACGACTACCAGAGACAGGTAATGCTCCAGTGGCAAGGAGAAGTCATCTACTGCCTCTTATACTCCTGGCATCTCGTTAAGGAGATTATCTTCAGGTGTGAAAATTGTTGACGCCATCGGGTGTCCTCAGAGCAACAGGAAAAACAGGAACTCCAAGTTTTCTACAGACATTTCTGCTCTGTAGATGCCTTATTTTCTCTGTACAGGAGGACTGCAGAGTCTAGTTCATCTCAAACTCCACTCTCTTGACTCCACAGGGAGGATGTTCACACTATGACCAAGTACAGCTGTATATTCTGGCATTAACCTGTTTGTTTTATAGCCCAATGAAATGACTTGGATAATGTTTTTTTTTCTTGTTTTGCATCCCTAATTTAAGACATTCAGTCTAATATATATTAGTAGGCTCTAAAATGACCTGAAATTACATGCAGTAATAAAACATGACAAGTCATTCTAGGCAGACTGTAACATTTGAGGGTAAAATTTGAGAAAGGCTTAATGCAGTCAAATAATGAATGCCGCCCAACCTTACCTTAATAATCCTTAGAGAAGTTGATAGTTCAGTTACAAGCAAGAATAAGCAGTAATTACAAAAAAATAAAAGGTTAGCAAAGCAATTTTATAGGATTATCTTACAGGAATGACTTTGAAAGTAGCTTGAAAGTAAAGAGGAAACGTGGTATTTAAAACTAGTGTTCCTTGAAGAAATGCATATCACACACCTAGAGTTCCAGGGTTTCGTGTGGACTCGTTGTGCTATGTGTTAGCACTCTGAATATGTGTTGAGGATGATTGTCAGCTGCTACCACTTAGAATTTTGTTAGCAAGTTTATTAGCAGTGATAGCCATCTTAAATGCAATTGACTCCAACGGTTGTAGATGTAAATTCAGTGATTATCTGCTGGTGGTTTCATTAAGATCTGTCCAGTCCATGAGATGTTTTCACTCAAAGACAAACACAGGTTGTTATATGACTGCAGGCAGGTGATAAAGATCCCAAGCTGGGACTCAAACCTGAGCTGTTTGTATTGACTCATATCTCTATACACAGGTTGTTAGCCAGTTGAGCTATGCAGCACCCCTAAAAGTAACTGATCTGTTTAATCTGGTAAGACCATTGGTGGAGAATGTAATATCTACTCCACCAAACAATGACGAAATGAGTCAAGAGCTGAATACATCTTCGTGGGACATGTTTCTCCTAAACAGCTTGTCTGTTTCTTGAAACAATGGAAAGGAGCACCTTACATGTGTACATAATTTTGCTCCACCACATGTACCACATGAGGTGCGAATGACAATAAAGAAACTCTGACTCTGACTCTGACTCTGACATGGTAATGACTTTTAGGATTTATTTTCTTTCAACTGCTCCCCTCTGCAGGGGTCACCTCAATAGAAGTCACATGAAAGATTTGTCTCCTGAAGACCATCATTTATAAAAATCAACCTCCTAAGAAACGATAAGTTATTATGGTTTCCTACAAAAAGGGGGCTGCTGTAGCCCATTGGTCAGTGCTGTGATCTTGTAATCCTAAGGCTGGGGGTTCGAGCCCAGTTTGTTGCATCAGGAAGGATATCCAGTGTCAAGCAATTACCAAATCTTCCATCGAATTAGCTTTGCTTTTACAACCCGTTGGTTATGTTTGTTCTTTTAGATATAAACATTTTACTTGCTGTACTTTAATATTATAAATTCCAATTGGTGCCACAACATTTTTTTTTAATTTGGTTAAAAAATGAATACAGCTTAAACCTAAAGTTTCTTGCAGTAATACTCCAAATACAAAGCCAATTTATTAAAAGAACAAATAAAAGCCAAATTATTTAACAAATACCTCAGTATCAATAGCAACTTATTCAATGATTAGTGGAGAGGGATTTGAGTAGGGGTGCACGATTGCAGTTTTCTGTCTGCTTGCCAATCACCTATTTCTACAAAGTCTGACCTGCCAATTCCGATTTTGGCCGAAACCGATTTTGTTTTATAAGCAACACTGTCAGGTGTCACAGGTTGACAATGCACCTTCAATTTTCCAATATTATTTTATTGAAAAACATACCCCTGAACAATATCCTAGAAACCCAACATTTTTCAGTCAGGTCATCTGGACAGTTGCCTCACAGGCCTAAGAGGCCATCTTAGCACCAACATAACTGGTTTGTTCCACTTGGGAGTAAGCTGTTGGGGGAAGAATCAGTTTTGTGTTGTGTTTCCTTGACTGATGAAGCCTTCTGGATGGAAGGTGAAACATTTCAGCACAAAAAAAAAAGAAACTGGCCAGATGACCTGACTGAAAATTGTTGGATTGTATACCTGGATTATTGAGCATGGACTTTGTTAATATCCTAGAAACAATACAAACTTCTTTTAACTGGCCATGAGGTAGTGCTTTGAAATGTAAATGAAGTTCAGACAGTTGTTGTTAAAACAAACAAAAAAAAAAAATGTAAAATCGGTTCTCATGCAATGTAAGTAACAGCCGATTTCCCAAAATTAAGGGAATCGGGGCCGATTTATCTGTGCGCCCCTGGATTTGAGTTTGTCTGTTTTAATTTTTTGTTTAAAGAAGGGATAGATTTAGGTGTGTTTTTTTTATTAATTCTTTATCAGGAGAAAGAAAAACTCATTGAGATTAAAAATCTCTTACAAGAGTGACCTGGCCAATGAAAGTCACACCACACGACTTATGAAGCCTTTCTATCCTGTTAGGCTTTAAAACGTGTGACTAATGGCGACTAATACAAGTATCTGATTTATGTGGCTGTAGCTACCTTGTGCCTTTCTATACTAAAAATAAGAGCCGTAATTTACCGTACAGATTGTATCTTGATCATCTCTGACAAGCCCAGGCAGAATACAGACCCTCAGCTTTTCATCAGGACAACTCTGGAGGGAGCCACATGCCAGCCTCTTGTCATCATGCAGATAGTGGCCGTGCTGTTCCCCTATGGGTAGTGGGTCGTCGCCGTGAACATAGTCATCTTTTGACAAGGTGTGAAGGGTAGCAGATTACACCTGTCAGCAGGAGGGATGGCTGGAGAGAAGAAAAGTGGGTGTAGTTTGGGGATCGAGCAAACAGATAGGAGAACCTACTTCCATTCTGATTGCTAGCCAGGAGTGTTTCTTTCCTTTTTTTTTTGTTTGTTTGTTTTCTTTTGTCTTGTTTTTTCTTATTACCATTGCCAACCACATTGCATCCTTAGGCCTGTGAGGCAAATCATGGCACCAGAGCTTCTGCAGTCCATTTAACGTCATTTCATTGACTGAGATGAGTGACCTTTTTGTATGCGGGACATGAGGAAATGTGAGACTGCATGCCCTCAACACAGACTTACTGTCACTGCTCACACACACAGCCACACACTTCCTATTGTCTGTTGGTTGTCTGGTGTTGGACAAAAATGCTCTCATCTTCCTCCCCGAGGGAGTCTGTGAACATCCTGCTTTTTCCATCACTCGCTCATTTTGATTCAGAGAAAACCATCAGGCTTACACAATAGAATCTCTTTTTTTTTTTCTTATGGCGCTCCCCATCACTCCCCGCTGTCCCACCCACTCATTTCTCCCTACGTTTTGCACTGTTCTCCATCAAAATTGTGCCTCTACACAAAAGCAGCACCAATGCTTTGCAGATTGGGGTGGAGATGACGTTGTCAGAAATCGATCAATTTCACCCCGGGGCCAACTTGAAGCTCCATCTTCGTTCTGCATGCTCTTTCTGGGGTTCTTTTAGCCCTGCCAACCTAAACTGACCCTCATCTGGAAGCCTGAGCTGACAGTAACACCTCTGAAACCAGGCTTCTGATTTTCTTTCTGAAATCTGTGTTGTGCTGCTTCTCTCTATGATTTGTCGTTTATAAATCCCCTTCAACTGTACAGGGGGTGAGTTTTGTCAAAATTAGGAGCAAAATATGATCAGTCCGAAGTGCCACAACAAACTCTGATTAAGTCTTTTGGATGAAAGACGAAACGTTTCAA